AGTTCATCAAACAAAATAATTTTTGTAAAATGTCGCTGTAATTATTATGTAGTTTTATTATTATAAAACGTAAAAGCCACTCTTAATAATAGCTCTAAATCATTGTTTAACATCGAAATTACTTTGTAAGACGTAATAAGGGTGCCGTTAATTAGGAGGGAATAGTCTTTTTTACTAATCCAACAACTATCGTGATTTAACCAAACTCTAATAACATCGCAACATGTGGATTTGTTTGGTTACGTAAGCCACAAAACAGCAATCACCTTCTTCTTTTTTTGCCATTATGAGTTAAATAAGAAGAGATTACATACGTGATTGGTGTATGTGTGGAGTGACATGTTTGTTCATTGATGGGAAACAACTAATATTCGAATGTTTTTTCAAAAGAAGACGCCATATTTTCTTTCAAGAATCTTCTTTTGGAGAATTGGTGAGGTCACCAAACCTAACAAGAACACCAAAATCAGCCATTGCTAAAATATCTTCTATTTCTTTAATGCTTAATTAATTATATATTAACTAACATGATTAGGCATGACTAAATATTTAGGCCATATCATGGTTAGGTTTTTTAGGTATGACTCACGCCTTTGAAGAGAAGTTCTTTGGTGGGAAAAATATAATACAAAAGCTATAAAATGGAGTAATACTTACTGTGGAACAAAAATAATAGAATTGAATTAAAAATGTTTGAGACCTTTAGTGGTTTAAGTTTGAACTTAAAATCAAATTGAATTAAAAATGTTCACATTCGTTTTGTCATAGTATTGAAAGTCTTGTGTTTACATTTTATTTGGCAAATTCCAAACTATTTTATTACCATCACTTATATCAATCATGTTAGCATTTAAAATGCTGAAAAATATTTCTTGTTATGTTTGTGGTTGATTTTTTTTTAACAGGCTCCACTTAAATTAATATTGCATTAAAAAGCAAAGCAGATAAGGAATTTTCAACACCTCAACTTTCTCTTTTCTAAGTCAACGTAGCCCCACATGTCACCGGCACGTGTTCCGTGGGATCCAAAGACCATGCTTCTTGTGTGGTCCTTGGAGTACCAGATCTCATCTTCTTTTATCAGACACACTTACAAGATATCCCCACACGCGCTTAAGAAATTCTATATAAAATATAGTTATAAATGAAACACGTGTTTCCATCTTTTATGATAATAAAAAAATATCATAATATTTATTAAAATAAATAGTATTATTAAAATTATAAAAATATGTTCATAAAAATTATTATAAAAAAATAATTTTATTATAAGTAATTTTTCTTTTTATAGTTAAGTTTAAAAAAATAGTTATAATAATAAATGACGAAAGTGTAGGAATTTTTATAAAAGAATAATTATGAATCAAATTCTTCCTATTAATAATATAGAAAATGATAATGTGATAATGATGATAAACATAAATAAATATTAAAATTTAAAATATGTATTAACTTTTTGTGTTTAATGAAAGGAACCATCGAGTGGTTGTATTTCAAAAAGATATTGAAAAAATTAGTTTGTATGAATTGTAAGAGAAACATATAGACAAATATCTTTAGAATATTGGCTAAATAACAGGATTCTATTACACGTTTCAAGTAACAGTTATTCATTAATTCTTTTTGAAATAGTAGTTTACTATTTTCTCAAAATGAATCTAATTTAGATACTGTAATAGAGTGTAGAATTCTATCATTTAACTAAAAGTCGTACGGGAGTGACTTTTTTCTTATTACATTCCTTTGTATGGTCGTTTGTATATTATATATAGAACTTTATTCGTAGAGTTCGTGGGATAAAGATGAACTTTGTTAGTCCATAAAGATGATAATACATTTAGATTGTTTATAAGAGTATTTCATGTATATGATAGGGTATTAAAATTTGGGAGCTTAAGCTAGACAAAGTTGTAAAAGTGAAGTTTTATTTATGATAACACTCTAGGACAAAACATCCGAATTGTCTAAATATAATTTGATAACGGTTAGAAATATTATATATTTTATCTTTATCTTTTATCTTTCAGTTAGTTTGTTATTATTTTTTATTTGTATTTTGGACTTAACCCATATTTCTTCTATTATAAATAGATAATCCTATGTGTGTTTAAGACAAGGGAGATTAATCCCATAAATAATTTTCACTATATTTAACAATAACAATAATATATTTTAAGTAGAGATGTTATTTTTTATGATAATAGTTGAACTTGTATGTTTTGGAAGTGCGTAGATATGTGATTGTGATACTTTTGATATATTAATTATGATTTTGATATAGTAGATTATTGAAAAATATTGATTTGTGTTGCTCTTCAAGTAATATTTATATTGTTAAAAAAAGAATTAGGAGTAGAATTGCTCTCCGGACTATTTTTGTTCAAGGAAAATTGTGTTGCTCACATCAAATTTAAAATGGAAATTTCAGTTGGTCTTGGGACAATTTTTTTTCCAATAAAGAAAAAGAAGAAGCTTATTTAGTTTTAAATTGTGTATTTATTTATCTGAATGAGTATGAAGGTTGTGTGTATGTATATATATATATATATTAAAATTAAGAAATAGAATGAGCTTTACATTTCCACTGAAATTCATAGAGAAAGTACATGAAAATAGACTTATTCCAAAACGATTTCCCTTTATAAAAAACATCGCTCACAGGTGTTTAACCATTGGAATCAGTCCAATATTGCTACTGCGGATATCGTGAAGAATATGGGCAAATAAATCTATTTATTCGTTCTTTAAACTGCCTAAAAAATTAATACCTTTTACCCCTTTTAAAATTAGTTTAGTATTTTGAGTTGCATATTATTCCTTTTAAAACTAATTTAGCATTTTGAATTGTATATTGTTTTTGCAGTCTACGTAAACTACTTATAATAACTCAATATGAATATTTGTTTATTTGTGATGATGAGAATTTGATTAAATATTTAATTGAGATTTTTTTGTGTAGTTAAAATATCTTATGAAAAGTAAAATTGTTAAGAGTAATATTTTGGTAAGAGATTTTCTAATCCGTGTAAAAGAGTTAATAATTTTTAGTTACATGATATTTGATATGTATTTATGTATGAGTTCTAAATTTTGTGTTTAATATATTTATGAAGTGTTTATCACAAAAATGTATAAATACTATTTAAACGACTTACATAAATTATGAAAATGTATATATTCTCTTTTATTATATGCATATATGTGAGATTTTAAAATTTATTTTCTCTCTGTTTCAGTGCTATTGTTGTTCCTCACGTAAGTATAATGACCACGTGCTATGTGAAAATAAATAATAATATAAAAAAATAATTTATAGAGATGACTAAAAAATCATAAATATGTCTTCTACTTTATTTAAATTTCTTTTTATATGAATATATTATAATTACTTATAAAGAGATAAATTTATTGAAAAAACTAAAAAATGTAATATATATATATATATATATATATATATATATATATATATATATATATATATTATGATTATAGTGATAATACCTCTTAAGATGATGTTTCCATACCATAAAATAAAATGATACTATGAAATAAAAGTTGTTTCTAAATTAGGTGAGGTTATGTAAATTTGATATACTGTGAGAAATTTAAATTTAACAGTTGAATTATGTATCTTAGAAATCTGTTTCGAAATGGAAATGTATGGAATATTTATTAGAAGATGGGGAATTGGTCCGAATGTCATATATTATGGATAAATCAGATCGTCTATTGTTATTTCAAATTATTAAAGCGTGTGAAGTTTTAGCAGCTTTCATACCATCTTTCTTTAAGAGACACTTTCCTTATTACTTATAGCTTCTGAAACAAATAAAATACATGCAAGACAAGAAATCTTTCTGGCAAAGCCTGTGTTTTCTCTGCTCACTTTTTGCCTAATGCTATCAATTCTTAAAAAACAAAAAGAAAAAGAAAGTGGCATAATTGAATAATAAATATCTGGGTTAGGTTCAAATATTTAGAAATCGGACAGAACATTCAAATGTGATTATTACACAACTTTCTAATTGCTTGGCATAAGTAGTTCTTAGATAATAATAGTAATAATTAAGCTTGTGAAGGAAGACGATAGATGTTAATTTCACACTATTCAAATGACACAAATCCTTATACCTTTAAATTGACCCACCCATTTAAGCCGGGAAGATAATTCTTTTGGAAAATGAAAGCAATGAGAATAAAGAAAAAAAAATGATTGAGCACAGAAAAGGGTCATATATTATGATTTATGAGTGTGATGGGCTACCCACTTTAAGACCCCAGAAACTATAACTCTCTAACAAATACAATTAAAAAAAACTTTGATTTTATTGTTTGCGGAGAAACAATATCAGTAAACTTTGTTTACTCTGATCAAACTAATTAACCATTTGGTGATAGATTTCAATTTTCTAATTGAGGAAGTGTCCATTTATATTAATTTGGATAAAGAAAAAATGGAAAAGAAAAAGGTGGTTGTGGATCCAACAATGTAAGAGAAAAGCAGAGAGGAAGAGAAGGTAAAGTTTAGTGGCAAGCGTATTGATTGCAAACTTTAAGGTTAATTTATTTATTTTTTGCTGATATGTGTTTTGAGACAAAAGCAAGAACAAGAAAGAAGCACCAACACAACAGCGACCACAACACAACCCAAGTTGGTTGAACCTTACACGTCAGCATACTGAAACGTTGCGTGTTGGTTGAGAGATGGGAAATTCCTTCGGGTGTTCGGCCTCCGGCGAGAGGCTGGTGTCGGCGGCGAGGGACGGCGACTTGGTGGAGGCGAAGATGCTTTTGAACTGCAACCCCTGTCTCGCCAAGTATTCAACATTCGGTGGCCTCAATTCCCCTCTTCATTTTGCAGCAGCCAAAGGCCACAACGAGGTCTCTTAGCTTCACTATCCACAAACATATCCAATCTAACGTAACCCTTTTAATTTTATTTATTTATTTATTGAATTTTGTTTTCTCTTTATTTATTTGTTTATTTTTCTCTGTTGGGGTACCGTTAGATTGTGGCATTGCTGCTGGAGAATGGAGCTGATGTGAATTCCAGAAATTATTGTGGCCAGGTGAGATTTTCTTAATTTTATGAATATCGGGTTTTATTTGCGAACAAACATTAAATAAAAACACATCATGTGATTACAGATTGGTGAGATGGTTATACTTAGTTTAGAGTTGAATTTTTCGATATTGGAGTATTCCATTTTTTCATTTCGCGTAGGATTCTGTTCGGTGAGGCGAGTTGCTGTCTGTAAGGAAGCATATTTAGAGTGTTCATTGTAATAAGCAATTACATCGATTGATCTGGTGTCAATGCAATAGAAGAATGAGAACTTTAAGCTGTTTAACAAAATTTCTTTGGATATGTTCACCCTCCCTATATGTGCGTACATGTATATCTTTACTAATTTGATAGTATGTTTTACCTTGGTTCTTGATTTGAAGACCGCCTTGATGCAAGCTTGTAGATATGGGCACTGGGAAGTTGTACAGACACTTCTACTCTTCAGATGCAATGTGAGTCCGATTTTATTTTATTTTCCCCGTTTGAACTTTCTAGGTTTCACCATATGTTTCGTATTTATGTGATAGCTAGGAATTGGGGTTTTTTAAGATACTACCTGCTAAGTGGGACTTGATTGCTTTGTTTGTTTGTATTTACCTCTTTTTACATGGTAAACGTTGATTTCAAAATCATTGGGTTGTTGTCTATTAAATAACAGGTTTTGAGGGCTGATTATCTTAGTGGGAGGACAGCTCTTCACTTTGCAGCTGTGCATGGGCATGTAAGATGTATTAGACTTGTTGTGGCTGACTTTGTACCAAGTGCACCTTATCAAGCTATACATGCTTGCACAAATATTGACAAGGATGGTGGATCAAATGTGAAAGGAAAACATGAGCATAGGTACTGTTTCCTTTTCATTATTATTTATTTCCCATAACAACATGTCATTGTAGTGAATTTTGTATGTTATAATTTCCATTTGACTAATAGGGTTTAATGACTGGTATGTTTTGACAGTATGTAATATGCTTTTATTTAAATTTTCTTTGCATATTTCATTTTTTTAGTTACTTTGATTTTTCTCTCAAGTGTCTTTCTTATGCAAGTACATGATTAGTTCCACATGAATAAACATATCTTAGACAAAAAATTAGTTGTAAAAACTATGCATAATTTTATTGGGGGAATGATGAAAATGATATTTTGTTTGGTGCTTGCTGTTATGAGTGATTTAAGGCCTTACTCTACGAGAGTTTTCTTTTAGGTTTGTTATATTCTTGCAATTTATTTACTTTATTCCAGTGCAGTGCCCTGTCCAAGTTTGTAAATAAGACTGCTGATGGTGGTATAACTGCCCTTCACATGGCCGCGTTAAATGGATACTTTGATTGTGTACAACTTCTGCTTGATCTTAACGCCAATGTGTCTGCTGTGACATTTCATTACGGAACATCAATGGATTTAATCGGTATGTCTTTTATATAATGTGCTTAATATCTCTTATGGTCGTTCTCCCCCCCACCCTCTACCCCTCCCTTTCAACATAACTAACGTGATTTGATCCAGGGGCTGGAAGTTCTCCTTTGCATTATGCTGCTTGTGGAGGCAACTTAAAATGCTGTCAGGCAAGATTTGATTTAGCTTTGATTTCAATATTCCCAGTGTCTTTTCCTTTGAAACTGGAACTGATGTTATTCTTTTCAGATCCTTGTTGCACGAGGTGCAAGTCGGATGGCTTTAAATTGCAATGGGTAAGATATATAAATGTTATTCAGTGCAAACTTTCACTTGCTTGATATCATACTGATACAAATTTGGACCTTTTCCCCCTAGGTGGCTTCCTCTTGATATTGCTAGGATGTGGGGCCGTCATTGGCTTGAACAATTACTGGCACCCAGTTCTGATACCACAGTACCTACATTCTCTCATTCAAACTACTTGTCCTTGCCTCTCATGAGTGTGCTCAACATAGCTAGGTATTTTGCAATCATCTGTTTCTGTTTCTCCAACCAACTGTGTTTCTGTGTAGATCTTTTGCAGATTATTTGGGACCATAATTCCATTGAAAAAAAAAGTAAAGTAATTTAGGTAAGGCATGCAAGTAGGCTCGTATATCTTTGATCATCCCTCATTTAGATAAGAAAAGGAGAACTTGTGACCCATCAGTTTGGACCCTTAATTTACACATAATTAAAAAATGAATTATATATTACAAGACAACCTTCGTTAAACTTTGGTTCACTTTGTAAGATTAAATAAAGAGAAACCATGCCTTTTTAATTTCCTCGACCATTTGAAATTATGAATGGACATCTATATTTGCCCTTCGATCGGTTTCTCCGTCAAATGTCAATTTTGAACTCTGTAAATACCCAAGAAACTTTAGATTCTCGTATTATCATTAAAAATAATAAACGAATGAAGTCAGGGGTAATAAATGTTGAAGGGAAAGGATTTAGATTCTAAAAATTGCACGGAGAAAATAACTCTATAGATTTCTACGTGGTTAGCATAGGGATTTCTATTGAAATGGAAATTGAAGGTTTCCATGGAAGTATTTGGAAATAAAAGAATGTTGGAATGGCTATATAATGTAAATGACAAGGGAATTTGGTTAAGTAATCTAAATAGTTCATTCGGGTGAATTTTGAACAGTAATGCAATGCAAATGAGCGTAATTATGGGAAGTTGAATATTACATCAGAACTGTGTAGACTGCTATTGTTGGCATTTGATGCACCTTCTAGTTTGATTGATAATATAAAAATATGCAAGTGTAATGAAAATTTGAAATGTCTATTGACATGAACCAATATTTTGAAAGTAAATTTTATGTTGCCTTTACAGCAAAATTTATTTATGAAATATGCTGCAACTAAATCTAAATTGTTGTCTAACCTAGAATGACAGATTAGTTAATTTATATGTTAGCTCAACGATATTTTTGTAGTTAAATACTAACAGTAGGGGAAGACTGGATCCTATAATGAAAAATGGCTAAGATTGATTTAAAATAACTGCAGAGAGTATGGATTACAATCATCTACAACCTCCTCTGACGAGATTGACTTTTGTGCTGTATGTCTGGAGAGACCTTGTTCCGTGGCTGCTGAAGGTACTACATTCTTTATCTTTTGAGTATATGTTGCATGCCTTCTGTTTGTAAACATCTAATGAACTGTATCAGTTAAAAGTGGACCTAGTTCCTAATTCCTAAGACATTGATTATGCGAGGAAGTAAGGACTACTTTCCAGAACCCAAAAAATACAGTCAGAAATATCATTCAGAGTATAATAAGCTGCCATACCTGTGTGTATAGCAGATTCTCATCCTCTGACACCATATTTTCTTCCTTTTTCCTTGACAATTTTTCAAGATTCTGGTATTAGATTCACTTTTGAACAACAGCTTAAGTGATACCATTAGATCATACTTGCAGGATGTGGGCATGAGCTTTGTGTAAGATGTGCGCTTTATCTTTGTTCAACAAACAATGTTTCTTCTGAAATGGTTGGCCCTCCGGGCTCTATCCCCTGCCCTCTTTGTAGACATGCAGTTGTCTCTTTTGTCAAGTTACCAGGTTCCCAAGCAAAAGAAAATAAGTTACACGTGTCTTTGGGCCTGTGTACCCCTTGCATGCTACATCCACGTGACCTAGATCAGCCATCCATCTCTCAGACACCTGAGATTGGAAGAAATCGTGTAGCTTCTGTTCCATCAGAAATACTCTGCCCCGTCACTTGTAGTCCATTCCCATCTATGGCAATTCCCCTATGTACCTGCAATGATGGTCCATGTCCATCATTTGAACCCCGAGAAGTAGAAACACGAGATGAATCACCTCATCACTCTCAAGCATCAACAGTGGATCAGGATAAAATTGAAGGGCCAAGATTGGATAAAACAACTTGCTCTAGCATGTTTTGGGGTAGAAGAAGTTGCAGCAGGGAGCACCAATGCAATTCAGAGATAAATGCTTGACTCGTATGGTGTTTGTATGACCCACTCTTGTGTTGTGGATAGATGGTATGGTACACTTAGATCAACACAGCAATCCACAGTTGCCTCAGTAACCAACCTCCAAAGGTGGAACTCGGGATATCTCTAGGAGAAAAAAACTGCTCTGCAGATCTGCTTGGCTGCATAGGCTCTATGCTATAGGTGATAGATACAGTTCTGGTATTTCAGCAACACAGCCACCCTCTGGATATGTTCTTTTCTGATATTTAGAGAGTATGTGTAATTACTTTCGGTTTCGTAAGATTGTTATTGTGATTTATTGTAATTGGATTTCATCTTACCGAAAAAGAAATAGTTTCTATTAAGGGGGAAAGGAATACCGTACGCTTTTTATAGCATGTATCACGTTTGGAGCATCTGTATATTATGTTTGAGACGAATTTCATAGGTTTACAGACACCGAAGTTGGGGACTGAAACCTGCTGATACAGTTATGAAAACCTGTTTCTGTGGAGTTGATATGGAGCTGCTGAAATAGTGATTAAAGCATGCCATATTGGCTTCTGTAAAGGGCATTTTAATAGAGTGGTGCAAGTTTTTTATGGGATCGTCTTATTTGAGTCAAACTATAACTATTAACAGTATTGTCTACTTGTGACTTGCCCCTAAGTTTGGCTATGTTATGATCTTAGTTGGTCCATTTTTTAAGAATTTGTTCGTAGTTGCTTCTTGTTAAGATATCATGGTTCCACAAATCTGGTGTTGTATAATGACACATAATACACCATGCAACGCTTATTAGTTAATGTTCTAATGCCTAAATACGTATAGTGCTAGAAAAGGAGACCGGTTTTTAACTAAGGAAATTTTGTTTGTGTTGCACCTCTCCAAACGCATTTCCTCATTTTACTTTACACATTATGCTTTTATGCTTTTCTAATCGTCAATAATAATAAATATAAACCCTTAAAATAATATTATTTCAATAAAAGAAAATGAGAAAGATATAAATGGAAATAGATATTATTTTGTAGGCAACGACTTTCATCCCCATGAGAACATCACATATTTACTTCTTTCTCACGACAAGTAAAGAATTTAAAATATAAAGAGATTAATTCCCTTAACAATGATGAAATACCTTATTTTAAAATACATAAGAAACAGAAATATTTATTTTCCTCTTCTCATTAACAAAAATAACTTCAAACAAGTAATAAAAGCGTAATCAACAATGTAGTGAGAAAACAAAAAATTTCCACATACAAACAAAAAAAACATGATGATTGATTATGGCTATTGCTTCCTGCATCCTGTCATATTTCTTTCAGCATCAAAAATATATTGGAATACTATAAACAATTCTGATATTTCTTCGAAAAGTAATCACCCCTTCCAATCACGAAAGAAATTTTTTAAAGTTTTTCTTATTGCATCAAGAAAGAAATTTGATGGGATGTAGAAAATAACGGTCTGTATTCTGAACTGCAAGATATTATGACAATTTTGAAACTTAAGAATTGTCAGGTCCAAATAAAAAATCAAAATCTGGACCCTTTGCACTTTTTTCTTCTTTTTGTGAATTTTGCTTTTCCTTTACCCTTTCACTCTTTCATTTGGTTTTTATTAAAGCTAATAATTATTTTATTATTAATTAAAAAATGCAAAGTTATGAGAGCTGATAATTGAATAGAAATAAAATTTTAAAGAAATTATAATGTTTAATAATTATTAGTAAAAAATTAATAATATATAAGAGAATGTGCTGATAATATTTCTCTTTCCTAAAACCTGCCTAGCAGTCCACTTCCTCATCTCCCACCTTTATCCCCGTTGCTGTCAATATCCACAAGTTTTCCATTTTCACCTTCTCCTAATTATTTTGAATTTTTGTATAAATATTAGAGTTTAATTCTCTATTTGTTTTTCGCCGTTTCTCTGTTATACTTTCAAGTTACACTGTTTTTAATATATTTTAAAATATCATAATTAGTGTAACATAGAATACGATAGAAAAAAAAACAGTAAAAATAAAACCAGTAAAATTTGAAAAGAAGAGAGAAAAAAAAATTAAATGTCTTTATCCAAAATATGATAATAATTTTGTTGTTCCTAAAAGGTAGTGTTGCAGTAGATATTAGAAGGTTTGAAGATGATTGTTAAGTAACCATGCTTCTCTATTAAATAATCGAGTCTAGTAATTGTTAGGTAATTATTAACACTTCACTCGCATCACATGTTTCTATGAGCAGTCAACTTTTTCTTTGAAACTTTTGTTGATGGTCAAATCTCACATTCACTCCTTTTTGCTTTTCCTCTTCTCTACATCACAAATGTCAAACTCTTCTTATTTAAAAATTCATTTCTTTCTTTCTTTTTGACCACGACATGTTTCCTTTTTCTATTTATTTCTTATTTTCAACTATCTACCTGAAAAATAGTTAAACAGTTTATTTCATTTTACATTTTTTATACAAGAAAAATAATTAAGAACAGAAAATAGCATTCTTATAGTTCATATTTAAGAAAACGAAAAGCTAAAAATATTTTTTTAAACTAAATAATTTGTATTTCTTTTTTCATTGATCAAAAATGTACTATATCATATTATTCATTTTTATTTTTGTCGTTTTACCTGTCATACGTCTGTTATAATCATGAATGTATTGTACAATATTATATTGATATTATTACCTCGATGGTTGTGTTTTATTTTGTTTCAGTTTGTCCTATTTCTGTCATGTTACAATTTTTTATTTAGGAAACGAAGAAAATACTAATTAGTTTAGAAACATTCTTATTTATATTTGATCAGAAAATTTAAATGATCAACAATATTTTTAGCTATCCTGATAAGAAAAGTCTTATCAAGGAAAAGATATTTATCACACCAATTTATTTTTTAAAGTATAAACTATGTAGAAAGAAGTAGTTGTTTTATATGTTTTATGGATATCATTCAATTTCGGATGATTTTTTGTGAAGTGTATTAATGAAATAGAGGGACATTATTTATGTAAATGAATATATTAATTGATTTATTCATCTTACACGTTACAATCATGGGCGAGTAAAATGAAACAAGAAGTGTCATAAATATCATCCTCACTTAACTTATTAGATTATACAATTTTTTTAACATAAATATTAATTCTATAATATTGATGATTAGATTAATCAATGTGGCTAGTTTCCTTAATTTAAAAAGTACAAGAAAAAATGATGGAAGAAGGTTGATTTAGTGGTGAGTAAAATGAAGAATAATAATGAGTGGTGAGTAAAAATGATGAAATGATGATTGCATCGTATGATGTAGGTTGATGATTAATGAAAAAGATAGGGAAAATAATGAAATGGTAGGAAGCGGTGCATATAGTAATAGCGGTGGTACAGTTGCAATTTACAATAACTTGATGACAAAAAAAAATAATAAGTGCGGTGCCATCGACTTTCCGACAGCAGTGCGGCGTAGCTTCTACTTCTTAGGGTGGCTCTAAAAGTGTTGTGCTCCAAACTCCCATTATTCTTTTTTTAATTAGAAAACAATAATGGAAGTCGAAGACAAATAATTTTGAAAATATTATATTATTTTTCACTTTTACTCGTGTTTCTAATTTTAAACCTTCATTTCTTAATTTATTTTATTGAATTTACTTATTTTTATTTTACCTGTTTCTTTTTATACCAAACATATTGATAGATATTTAAGTGATGGTTAGAGTTTTTAATATTTCTATTAGTTTCTTTATATTAATTACTTTCACAATATTTTTCTGACAATATTTTAACATCTTCGATATGTCACTATGTGATTGGTCCAAAATTACTTCATAATCAATAATAAGAATCATAAACACCAACATAAACCAATCACAAAATAACAAGTAGATAATGTTAAAATATTGTCAAAGTATTATTATTAATTATTCATCCTAATTTTGGAGTTTGGATTTAAATCTAATATTGGTGAAAGAATTTACTCCTTCTTTCATAATGTAGCCATCCAGACAAAATTTTAAATGACATATTTCATAAACAGAAGAAACTGATCACAACGGAGAATAAAACATAATATATATATATATATATATACTTCCGATATTGCTATCACATGCACTTGTATTTTATATATTAAAATATATACATTTCCAAATTATTTTTGTTCAAGCTCGTATTTTCATATTTTAATTTTAGTGTATGTTAAAATGCATGTAATCTTTTTATTTTCATTTTGCCACTCAATGGGATACCATATTTGTCTCAATACATAAGAGAATTGACACATACTCAAACTAATAAATATGTTTCATAAATATTTTTGTTTTTGTTTTAACATTGTTTTGATAACAACATAATTTAAAAAAGTTTCAGGAAAAATCAAATTCAATGAGTAATAAGCGTTTTACATAAAAAAATAAATAAATAAAACCCCACTCATAATCTAAAATATCAAGACAATAAATAAATATATGAATCTCTTTTATTATATATGCTGTTCAGCCTCATTCCTACTTAATACTAAACTCACACTAAAGATTAACAATAATATTTTCACTATTTAATAAAAATAAAACAACATTTTAACTATTATTATATAATTGCGACCTGTATCACGAAAGTAACGTGCCTCCAACTGTTAAACAATTATAATTTTTGTCTTCTTCATACGAGTATGACGTACACGGGTTTATTATGTTTTTTTCATCATACTAACATAATTTTTTAAGAATTTATTATAATATACAACTTAAAAAAATATTGATATAAAAAAATCATCTCATTTTGGTATAATTTTTATTTTAAAAACATTTTGAACTAAAATCATGTTAGTTGAAAATGTACTGAGTTAAAATCTTATTATTTTGACATAATTTCAACTTTAAAATGTTATATATTAAATTCATATGATTTTTTCACAAAGTAGTACGACTTAACGTAATTTTTAAAAAATTGTCCATTTGATGATGAGTAGAGATATATATAAGTTGGATACACACTGCATTTTCAATTGCTGAGCCTATTTTCATTTTCAAGATACAATTCCCAACGAAAAGAAAACAAAATTCATAAATTAATTATTGAAAATGAGGTCTTATTTTGGAAGATAAAGACAACCGTGTACTTCATAATCGAAACAGTGATGTAGAAAGCACGCAAATATCAGGTGCGAGAATGAAGGCTTTTTAGCTAGGATCGTGAAAAAAAAAGGATATGAATGGTAATGTATAAAATATAATTCAAAATTCTATTTTATTTAAGAAACCATTTACCTAATAAAATAATTTCTCAACAAACATAAACAATGCAAACAAACAAACTTTATTAATTAGGAGAAGTAAAAGAAATTGCAGTATAAGAAAGTATAGACATTGATTATGTTTTACAGTGAAGAGGTGAGAAGTTTGCATTGTTAGCTAGCGATTGATGATATCCGAATGTACGCATAAAGTGTCAGAAAAATGGCAGTGTGAATTGATTTGGGATTCCAGAAAATGGTAGCAATTGATTTGGGATTATAAGAGATAGTTTTGAGTACAAAAACGATAAAGATTCCAATTCAACTGCAAAGGGCCCCAACACATTACTGCGCAGTGCTTGCATGATCATATTTACAACCACGTACTTTGATCCAACCTTTTTCAGTACACTGCTT